TTAATGAGATGATGGAATCAAAGCTGAACTGTATAACATAAAAAGGCACACAAGCTGAAAACCCAACCCCAGAAGGGGCTCTGGGGGAGATTTTTAGAAATACAAACATATAAACTACACATTCTGGTACACTCTGAGAAGAAAATAAATAAATCTATTACCCAACATATTAATAATATTTTATGCCATTGTTTGTTTTTCACTTTGTTCTGACAGCTTGCTGCTCCACACAGAGAGAAGGGCAAATAGGAGACTGTGTGACTTACTTTAAATTGTGGGTAAGGGTAGATAGCTCCCATTGTTATTTGACCTGTCAATCATCAAACCGGGGGTCATATTTCATTATGTGTTCATTTGTATCTGAAGTTGTACCCATGGATGTATAAAGAATAGTTGACTTCAGGCAACGATCTTGATTCTGATTGGCCAGAAGACTCAAAAAAACATCAGCAAAGATGTTTTATTGAGAAGATGATCACTACGTGACTACTGGTCTCCGTTACTTCCAGTCCAACGCCTACTGCATGCACAGTGTTAGAAAATTGGGCCTTCAAAATAAAAATGTGACTTACCCCACCCCCCCAAATAAAAATAAAAAGTTTAATAATTTTTTTTTCTATTTCTTTTTTCTTCACTCACACATCTGCGACCCACTCGAAACGGGTCCCACCAGTTGAGAAACACTGATCTACACAATCACTCCAAAAATACTAAAGATATTTTTTTAATTTTAAATGAAAAAATTCAAAAATATATGTGTTGTGTCGTGGTGTCTCCCACCGGCCACAGAACAGACCGGAGCTAGCTAAGTATTCAATAAGCATGTTTAAAACATAGAATGTAAGTCAAAATTAGCAGTGACTGAGCTAAGTGTGTATAAAGGGCACTCCTTTCTTGTAACCGTTTATTTAATTAGTAAAAATGTGATGATAAATGTTTCTAGAATCTGGAAAATGTTGGTTTAAGTTACCTTTAAAATGCTTAAATCCTACTCATTAAAAGCTGGAAGAAGCCTGTCAGTGCTTGTCTCTTACAGCATATTTGTTTCAGTAAACATCTTCACTTTCTTGTGCTTTCTCTTATCTTTCATCCACTAACTAATTCTCCCCCCCTCAGATGTGGCAGCACCATTCGCCTTCCCCGTGGACCTCCAAGCTTACCCCACCTACTGCACGGTGGTGGCTTACGTCACTGATCTCAGCACCATGAGAGAGAGGCTGGTGAACCGCTTCTACAGGTACCTCACATCATCTGGTTCTTGAGTCAAATAAGATACATGAACAGTGTGTGTGTACGGGAGAGAACTAAATACAGACTCAACACGTTTGCGTTTCCTTTGCAGACGCCTGTCCTCCCTGATGTGGGAGGTGCGTTACATCGAACACAACGCTCAAGCATTCAACGAGCCCGGAGCGTTCATCGTCACCACCGCCAAGTTTGTCTCTGACCTCATCCTGCATTTCATTAAGTGAGTATACTCAATTCATCCTGGGGTGGCCGGATGAGGTTTTGGGACAGTTGCTCCATTAAAAGGAATATGTGCTGTATATAAACACAAGAAGTTATAGTCAAATCCAAATATTTCTATTAAATATAAGCAGGAATAGACAGATGTTATTACAATAGACAACATAAATAAAAATGTGAATACAACAATATGTACAGCAGTTGCTTGTATTAACACCTATATTAACACTTGCTAAAAAAAACTTCTACTTTTTTTCTTCTTCAGGGACCAAAGCATGACAGACATCATGCCACATTATAAAACTATGAAGAAGGCCACCTTCTCTGACTCCGAGGACGAGGTGCGTTTGTGTATCTACATGATTACACGCAAATGAAATGACAAGTTGGAAGCTTGGAGGGAGATTACAATCTGCTGTAGGTAACCTTTGTATCATTCCCTCTTTTTTATCTGTCTAGGATGATGAGGAGGAGGATGAAGATACCAATACTCCTGGAACATCCACGAGAAACCATAAGGTAACATCTGACAACATCGTGTGTTCTCAATTGTTTACATTAGTAGTTGTCCCTAGTCTGCCTGTGTTTGCCAGTGAAATCTCTTCTATTCACTCATCTTCTTTTCTTTTTTTTTGCAGGGTCGTCGACCCACACAGCGGCAACTGCGAACGCGCCCCCCTTCATACGACCCTCATGCGTGGAAGGGCCGCTGTAAGGAGCTGCTGGATCTCATCTTTCAGTGTGAAGACTCGGAGCCCTTCAGAGAACCTGTGGACCTACAGGAATACCCCGTACGTGTTATTTTTCTTTTTCTTTATGTGATCTCAGTGTAGCTCAATGTACATTTCCATTGGGCTCGGGTTCATTTGCATTTTCTACTACCTTCTTTTGGTCCTTGAATCTAGCTATTCAGTCGGCATCTGGAAATCCGCTTTGCTTTTGGTTCAGTCTTTTCCCCCGGCCCATTTCAAAGTGAAACCCCAGATCTCTAATTCCTTTCCCCCGCTTCTTCTCCCCGGCTTATTTGGTCCTCGTCTTTTAAACCTGTAATTGAAATATCCAAACTTCTCTCTTTCGTTCTCAGGACTACCTTCAAATTGTTGACTTGCCAATGGACTTCAGCACCGTCCTCAAAACGCTCAAAGAAGGAAAGTACCAATCTCCCATTAAGCTCTGCAAAGACGTCCGGCTCATTTTCAGCAACTCCAAAGCTTACACGCCCAGTAAGAAGTCCCGGGTGAGACAAACAAACACACACACACACACACACACACACACACACACACACACACACACACACACACACACACACACACACACACACACACACACACACACACACAATCCTTACATCCAGGGTGCTTTAAGCTAAATGCACCATGAAAACATAAATTAAATAACCTTCATTTATTCACCAGATCTACAGCATGAGTCTGAGGCTCTCGGCTCTGTTTGAGGAGCACGTCAGCTCCATTCTGGCTGACTACAAGGCCATCCATGGTCTGACAGATAAAATGACCAGGCAGAGCACCGACAGACAGACAAAACACACAACGGACAGACAGACACGGCATGCAATGAAGCGCAGGAGGAGGAGGAGTGAATCTCCAGCAAGCAGCACGGCATCCAGGTAGAACACGGGACATCTCATTTGAGGCTCTTGCTTTGTGTAGATCTGTTTTTTTATTTATTCTGTCCTTCCATCCTACCTCTAGTCCGGAGAGGAAGAGACGTGTATCATCCAGGGTGACCGCGAGAAGGGAACCGTCGCCGCCCCCTTCACGGCCCCCCTCTCTGAGACAGATCGTCCCCGCCAAACAGCCCCCTCAGCTGGTCAACGGGAAGGCAGACAGTCCAGCAGCAGGACGAACACGGAGTGCAGCACGCCATTCTACACACTCTCCACCCTCCTCATCTTCATCACATAATGCCACTAGCAGCACTCAGAGCGCAGCAGGTGAGATCACTAAAGACAAGTAAATGTAGTCGTTTTGGAAAATACATTTCATTGCTTCCTTGCTAAAATCAGATGTACAACTCTGCTATAGCTACTGTAGCCTGGCAAACTAAAAGTGACAACAAGACTCTTGAAAATAGCAAACAAATAGTCCGGCAAGTAGTGCCCTGTAAGACAACTGTGTGTTATTCGTATACATGATTTGAATTTGATGGGACCCAAGGTCGCTTTACAAGGAAAAACAGGATTAAAAACAAACAAACAAAACAAAATTAGGGGCCGAAGGCCTTGGCAAACAGATGGCACTTGAGGGCCCTTTTGAAGGCGTCAGGCGTAGGGATGTTGCGGATCTCCGCAGGGAGAGCGTTCCAGAGGGTGGGGGCTGCCACACTGAAGACTCGGTCCCCGAAGGTTCGCAGGTTGGTTCGGGGGTTGGAGCAGGCCAGAGTCTGAAGACCACAAGTTCCGGGGTGGGGCATGTGGGCGGAGGAGGTCCGATAAGTAGTGGGGGGCATGGGCATGGAGGCACTTGTAGGTAAGGAGGAGGACTTTGTAGGTTATGCGGGACTTGACCGGCAGGCAGTGGAGGTGGATTAGGGTGGGAGTGATGTGCTGCCACGGCTTTGTATGTGTGGGTACCCTGGCAGCACAGTTTTGAACATACTGGAGCCTGTCCAGGGTTTTGTTGGGAACCCCAAACAGGACAGCATTGCAGTAGTCCAAGCGGGAGGTGACGAAAGCATGAGGCGACGAAAACATGAGGCGCATTCACACCGCAGTACTTTTCCCACAAAGGTTCATGAGAACTTAGTTCATACAGATCGCGTTCACACCGGAATAAATTCCTGGGGGAGGATTAGGCAAATGAAGCCGTTGACGTCACTTCTTCTTCTTCTGCTTTGGGTTTACTGGCAGGCCACAAACAACTTCACGGCGTATACTGCCACCCGAAGTCCCCGGCCGGAAGTCCCTGGAGTTGGGGACTGGCTTCAGTAGAAGCTGCTGGGACTCCCAGCAGCTTCTACTGAAGCCTTCCGATTAAATCGCCAGAACGCCGACACCTTCTCATCACTCCACCGCTCCCATGTTTTTTTTTGTGTTGCCATAAGTTAGTCTCTTTGCGTATGTGTGCTGGGCTAATGCTAATGCTAATAATGCTAATGCGAGGATAATAAAATAGCGGCTTCACAAAACTTGTTGGGAGTTTTACGGGGCGTGGTTTGCATTCCGCCCAGCCAATCAGAAATAGGAACCTTTTTCTCCCACGAAAGTCCCTGCTCACTAGCAGGGACGGAAAAAGGGGGTAAAAAAGGTTCTGATGAACTCATTTTAGTTCCAGCTCTTTTTGGTGTGAACGCGACATTTCGGAACTATATCGGACCTAAACTGGGAAAAGTACTGCGGTGTGAACGTGGCTATGGACTAGGGTTCTGCAACCGACTCCGAGAGTGACGGTCGGAGTCTGGCAATATTCTTTAGATGGAAAAAAGCAGATTTGGTGACAGACTTGATGCCAGTGGCGGCGCCAGATATTTTTCTTTTGGGGGTGCTGTGGGGTAGCTTGACGTTTCATAGGGTGCTCAAAACATTTAGGGGTTCCCATCAATGTCCCGGGCGCTACAGTTTAATTTTCTACCGCAACACTCCCCACCCGCACATACACAGTACACCCGCGACTGTTACAATGAAGGCTCGATAGTCAGCTCACGACATATAGGTATAAGCAGGGGCAAAGTGCTATTTTTTATAAGTGGGGGGTGGACCTAACATCCTCTAGGTGGGTCTGGGGGCATCCTCCCCCGGGAATATATTTTGTTTTAAATATTGAAATTAAATGCATCAATCTGGTGCACTTAAGGCCCAGATACACCGGCCAGTCACCTGAGAAGTCGCCGACGCCAACACCGACTGTTGCGTCGCCGGACTCACTTGCGTATTTGCCGACTTCGCGCACTGGAACACACCGCAAATCCGAGCCGAGCACGTATGAACTGCGCATGCGTGAGTGGCAATAACTCTCCTTACCAGCAGGCGGCGGTAGTGTGTATTCATCATTCAAAAGAGGCAACAACCGGAACAACCGGAAGACAGAGAAGAAGAACAGACTCCATGATATAAACAAACAACAAATAGCGTTTTTCTCTCCATTTTCACTCTCGTCCATTGAAAACATGAACGAACAGGAGCTCTATAAACCGATGAGGTGAAATAGCCGTCCGTGTGTGTTCCATCTTCCATTTTAAATCTTTTGTTTACCTCCCTCACTTCCGTTAACGCTTCTCATGCACTGATTCGCTAGCTGAACAGCCAATCAGTGTTATCACATTGTCCGACTTCCGGTGGTGATCCCGACGCCGAATCGGCAAGAAAAGGCGTCAGGACGGCAGAAAAGCCCCGACGGTGCGGCGCACACCACTCCGAATAGGGCGTGCCCACGCTCATGTTCGGCCCGACTCCCATTTACTGCTGATTTCGGGCCGGTGTATCTGGGCCTTTACACACGGAGCCGCGTTGCGTATGCCGTTCTATCCACCTTGGGACCCGTTATCGTTTCCGCAGTTGTTTACTGTCATATTCGGTCGTCCTAGTG